CTCATAAGAGCAAGCTCACAATGGCCATACTCTAGACAACATGTACAAACTACTTGTGCCATCCCCAGAAGAAGATACAGCTGTCATTCTCTATTCTCAGGGAGCTGCAGTGACTGGCCAAGATCACCAGACATGAGCTGTATACCAGGACGTTCTCACACCCAGTTAGGCTCCAGAGCCTGTTATCCACTAGACCCTGCCCCTAACAGACCACCAAAGACAGGAATGCAAACAGTGATGGCCTGCATTCACCCCATAGTCATCCAGCTCTGCCCTTACCTGTCCCTGCACAATGGCCTTCAACAAGGCAAGAACTGCATGTCGGGCCTCCGGTGGCCGCTCTGGCTGCAGCAAGTCTGCGACAGCCTTCCAAAGTGCTTCCACTGCATGCTGCCATAACAAAGAGCAGACAGTGATAAGGGTGTGATCGCCAAAAACCTGAGCTCCTCGATCAAAGAACAGAATAGGGTCTTTCGACTTAACACTAGCTCTATGAGAGCCTTTATTTTGAGTACTTCCTGATGTTCACGGTGACAACAGACGTTCGGACCATTTCAAACCCAAGTCTCTCTCTCTGTCTTTCTCTCCCTCCCTCCCCCACCTCTCTCTGTCTCCTGGTTTTCTGAGAAAGAGTTTCTCTGTGTAGCTCAGGCTGGCCTCGAAGTCAAAGATCCACCTGCCTCTGCCTCCCAAGTGCTGGGATTAAATGTAACTTTTTTTTTCTGAGACAGGGTTTCTCTGTCTCAGGATAGCTTTGGCTGTCCTGAAATTCACTTTGTAGATGAGGCTGGCCTCAAACTCACAGAGCTCTGTCTATCTCTGCCTCCTGAGTGTTGGGACAACTGATATCTGGCCAAGTTTCTTTAATGGGCCCCAGGTCACAGTCGAGGAAAGGGAGAACAGACAGGACAGGGAGGCAATTCTGGCTTCCCCAAGACTGCCAGGGAAATCCCTAGTAGATCTCTTCAGGTTCAGAGCATCGAGTTGCTCAGAATCTGCAGCAGATGAGCCCTACACATGCACCTGCCCCAGAAACCTTACTCCAAAGTGTTCCTGCAGGAGTCAACCCCTACGAAATGTTAAGAATTCACTCTGAACCCAGATAGTGGTGGCCCAAGCCTTTTATCCCAGCACTGTGGAGACAGAGGCAGGTGACTCTTTGAGTTTGAGGCCAGCCTGGTCTACATAGTGAGCGAGGGCTACACAGTGAGTCCCTGTCTCAATCTCCACCCCCAGTGACTACCAAAAAGAGGATAAGCAGACACGCATATCCATAACCCTTTTTGGAATTCAGGGGAAGCCCATTCCTTTTGCTGCCACCAAGACAAGTCTCTTAGGATTGCACACAGGGCATTTCTAGAAGCTTCCACATCACTAAGATGAAAGCTAAATTTCTCTAAAATGGTAAAAATTGAATCATTACAAAGCTAGGCGTCTGACATACACCTGTAATCCCATACTATACTGAAGAAGCCGAGGAAAGAAGACCATATCAAGTTCAAGGTCAGCCTGAACTATATAATAAATGCTAGGCTGGCTAGGACTATATAACAATTCTGAAAAGGGGAAGGGAGAGAAGAGGAGGGGAGGGGAGAGGAGAGGGGAGGGGAGGGGAGGGGAGGGGCGAGGAGAGGAGAGGAGAGGAGGAGAGGAGAGGAGAAAAGCTCAAAAGAGTAAACAGCAAATTGAAGGATTCAAACAACCTGGAACTGGCATGCAAAACTCCAGCAGTGTAACTGAGGCAAACCTACCTCTTCAAGTTTCTTAGTTTTTGCCACATCACAGATCTGCCCTATCATTCGGATGCGATTGTTGAGGCCACATTCACCGCTAAGTTCCTAGAGAAAATAAAAAAGGAAAAGGGGCATGCTTAAGAGGTCTCCTTAACTGCCAGTCACAAACCACCTGTAAGTTGTTCTACATTTTATCTATAAACCAATGTGGGTTTTTTTTCCCCCTTTCTTTTGGTTTTTGTTTTGTTCTGTTTTCAGACTGGGTTTCTCTGCATAGCCTTAGCTGTCCTGGAACTTGCTGGATACCAGACTGGCCTCACAGAGATCCACCTGCCTTTACCTCCTGAGTGCTGGGATTAAAGGCATGCACCAGCCCCCTAGGCTGATGTGTTTTCCCTGAGATGAGGTTTTGCTATGAATCCCAGGCTGTCCTTGAACTCACATTATAGCCCAAGGCCAGGCTCAAATATATAATTGTCCTGCCTCAACCTCACATGTACTGGGACTACAAGGAGAAGCCACCTTATCCAACCATAGAACTTTTTGCTTTTTTTTTGTTGAGTATGTAGCCCTAAGTGGCCCGAAACTCACTGTGTAGACAAGTCTGGCTTCAAACCCACAAAGATCTGCCTCTGCCTTCAAAGTGTCAGGATCAAAAGCATGCACCACCAAACCTGACTAGCTATAATCATCAGAATTCATGGAAGAGCTTACTGCTCCAGCTCTTGGACTACAAGGGCAACTTTATTCCCCTAACTGAAGTTTTGTTAGATAAAACTTACATAACATAAAATATACCATTATAACTATTTTATTTATTTATTCATTTTATTTATTTATTTATCCTTTTATGTGACCCTAGCTAGCCTGGAACTCATGCCCAGACTCTGAGCTCAAGGTGATCTTCCTGCTTTAGACACCCAAATGCTGGGGTTATGGGCATGAACCACCACCAGCCTGGCTACTGCACTAAATTTAAACTGCAAACTTTAGGATTATCACAAGGCTCACAATCACCTCCACTATTTCAAGAATGTTTATCACACTAAAAAGAAACCACATACAGTTCCTTCCAGCTCCAACTTGCTTGTTCTGGATATTTCATACACTGGATACACTGGACTCATGAACCATGAGGCCATCTATGACCAGCTTCCTTCACTTCGCATGCTTTCTATGATCCTTCAAGTTGGGGCATACCTCACTACTGGATGCTTTCTCCTGATAAATCATACCCCGCAGAATACAGATGTACCATAGTTACAACCTTAATCAAATGATGAGCATTTGGTTTGTATCAGAGTTTCAAGTACAAAAGTTCAACAATTATTTATGGGCAAAATGTACACGCAAGTAAGACACCCACAGACATAAAATAAAAATCAAATAGGTGGACAAACATAGGTTATAGCTCTTTTTTTGGTTTGGTTTGTTTTTTCGAGACAGGGTTTCTCTGTGTAGCCTTGGCTGTGCTGGACTCTTTGTAGACCAGGCTGGCCTTGAACTCAGAGAGATCCGCCTACCTCTCCTTCCCAAGTGCTGAGAGAAAACAGAATGTCCATCATGACAGTAAACAAAATACGCTTTCATGGATCACCTAAAGCAAGTGTGCTAAAGCAGGTCACCAAGATCTTGAGGAAGGACATGTATGCATGTCTCCACAGGACCGGAGACAGCAGCCCTGTGCAGCTGGTCACCAGCAAGCCGTCACCCCCAGAACCAGTGACAAACCCAGCCTTCCTTGCACTTCGTGCTGGGCTCGCCAAGACAGAGGCTGCTCACTCACTCTCAAGATTTCTGCTGTGATGATAAACTCCGTCTGTTTGCCTTCTGCACACCTGGGATTTGGCCTTGATGTCCCCAATCCCAACAGTATCTTAAACTTCTCCTTCAAGCCTGAATCTTTGCTTGCTGGTTTGGCCATGCTGGGCAGGCAGTACTAGAGATCTGCTCTGTGCAAAAAAAAAAAACCAACAACAATAAACATTATTTGATACACCCGAGGAAAGGCTCTCTGTTTTCCTGCGCTTGACGCGGTTGCCAGGATCCTAGGTCTAGAAGAGGCAATAACCTGTCCTCCCTACTGCCCCTGGGGCAACTCAACCCATGCAGGCGGGACTCTGCCACAAATCAACCCTGGAGGTAGAGGCCTAATCCAGCCTTTAATCTACCCTTAGACTACCGCTGTGGGGTGCACACAGCCACGATGATTGCCATTAGTTTTCTCCTGTATGAAGGAGGAGCTTTCTCTGAGGACAACAGAAGCAGAGGCCCGCTCACACCCGCAAAGCAGGGCTTGGAGCACTGGGAACTTGTCAGCGGTGGGCGTAGCCGGGGCCTGGATACAGAGGGGCAAGCTCCCCTTCAGCCCATCGCAACGCGACCATACTATCACCCCGACCTGCACCAGCATTCGGAGCCTCACGGGCTACTCACCCCGCGCGCGCCTTCCGCGCGCAGGACTTCTTGCACCCAGGAAAGGGCGCACACCCCCAGCCCAGGGCAGCTGCCGGAAGATCAACCTGTACTTCCGGGGGCGAGAGCTGCGTTGAGCTCCCTGGGACTTGTAGTTCCGCGTGCGCGGCGAGCAAGTGGCGGGACCGCGGGGCCAAGGGAATGCGTAATTTACTGCCCCCGGCATGAACTCTGGGGTACGGATGCTGACTCGCAGTCGGAGCCGCGCGTCCAGGATCGCGTCAGAAGGGTGTGGGGAGGAGCTCGCCCCGCGAGAGGCTGCCGCAGGTAGCGCTGCGCCCGGAGGAGTTTGGATGGATGGGCGAGATGAGGAACTGGCTCCAGCCCGGGAGCCGCAGGATCTGACCTAAACTCTAGGCGCCGCATAGTAGGCAGTCGTCCACAAACGCTTAGAGTCTCGCGTGCCCCCACTCTAGCTTTTTCCGTGGAGCTGGGATCTGTAGGGGTTCTGGATGTGCCCGTACATCCACCCTTGTCGCCAGCGAAAAGTTTCAGTCCACCAGCCTAGCTTGGGGGCATTTACTTGTTTCAGGCTGACTGTGGGACACAGCAGCCTGTCCTCAGAGCTGCCTCCCTCTTGTACGACCAGGCTGTATGCCAAGAACACACCCAGCCAAAAGTCTTCTCCCCAAGCCGGACGGTGGTTCTGAAAGAAAACAGGCCCAGAGAGAAAACAGGAAAGGGCATGGCACTCGTTGTATTTGTCCTGTAGCCATTACTGACCTACTATGTGCCAAGTAGTGGTACGCAGGGAACAATTATCAAAGCACCTGCACGTCTCCAGCTGGAACTTGAAGGTAAGTGGCTAGAGCAGGAGCGTGCGTAGGCATCAATGGTCCCAGAATCCGTTCAGTCATGGAGACCCACTGAGACCCAGGCTGAGGCTTGGCAAGAACCACGTGCCAGGGAAAGAAGACAAGACTAGTGTTGATACTGTTAGGGCAGCAAATGCTTTGACGTTAAGAGAGTTTGGAGCTCATCTTGAGTGTTAATTTCTGAAAAAGGAGTGGCACAGTCCAATTCGAGTGTTAAAAGGTTCTCTTGCGTGCAGCTCAAGAGACAAGGGGAAAGGTTACATCCTCCTAGAGGCTATCCCTAGTGTCTTGGTGTGCTAACAGGCACGTTGTCAGACCACCATGTACTGTTGTGACAAGGGCAGAACACTTCTACAAACCGCATGGTAGATAATGGACAGTTGCACAAATAAATGAGGGGGGAGTGAATTGTCAGGTAAGCAGCCCCCTCACCCTACCCTCCAAAGGCTGAATGGCACTTTTTGCAGAAGGAAGGAAAAGCCGCAGGCCTGTGAGACATCCACGGAAGACACAGAAGGTGCATGTGGCCTATGAGGCTTCTAATGGTGAGAAAGGTGAGGCCAATGAGGCCCTCAAAGTACCAGTTTGGGAGCCCCAGAATTGGCAGCAGCAGCTGGCCAACATTCGCATCATGAGAAGCAAGAAGGACGCACCTGTGGACCAGCTGGGTGCTGAGCACTGCTACGATGCCAGTGCCCCACCAAAGGTAGGCAAAGCCTCCACCCGCTCAGGGGATTCCTTGTTCTTCCATGGAAGCAAGAGATGCTCGCTTTCTTGCTTTCTTTACAGAGCAAGACCTGCCAGCTCTCTCAGCTGACACCATCCCCGACAGGCTGCATACAAGAGGATGTGCTCCTACTGCCTTAGCGCACCGGACAGCATGCATCGTCTGTCATTCATCGAGCTCACTGTGCATGTCAGGGGAGTGCCTGTGACCTGAGGCCTCATGCATAGTGATGGCATTTGGGAGCATTTCAGTAATGTGAGAGGAGGAGAGTTCCTTAGACTAACCTAAGCTCTAACCACCTTCTGATACTGGATGACCTGAGTACTTCTTGTCTGTGGGCCTGGTGGTCTAGCAAATGAGCAGTGTTGTCATAGACCAAGCAGTCACTGTAACAGTAGTAGCCAGTGATTGTCTAATATCCACCCTGTTCTAGGTGTGATTCCAAGCAAGTCATTGGAGCTTCGCAGTACTCTGTAGAAGCAGATAATTGGTAGACATCAGCAGATCATTAGTCCATGTTAGTTGTGACAAGTCAGACCCTGCTCTTCCTGATGAGTAAGAGGTCCACAATAACAAGTAAAGATGGGTAAGTGACTTGACTAAGACCGGTCATCATCCTGGCCCCTGTCATTGTACAAGCAGGTGCGGAGGTACCAGGTACTCTTGTCGCTGATGCTCTCCAGCCAGACCAAAGACCAGGTTACAGCAGGTGCCATGCAGCGCCTACGGGCCCGGGGTTTGACTGTGGAAAGTATCCTGCAGATGGATGATGACATGCTGGGCAGGCTTATCTACCCTGTGGGCTTCTGGAGGGTAAGCCTTACCCTTGGCAATAGGGCCAAGACGGGGCGCTGGTCTGGGGGTGAGGGGCAGGCATCTCTGCTACAGAAGCCTTTCATGCTTCCGACCTACCAGGAGCCTATACCATGGGGCTGGAGCCCTGTCCCAAAAGCTCTTGAGATTTTCCTGTTTACAGCCCTTCATTCTTCTCCCCTCCCACCCAGCTGCATGCCCTCCCCTCTCTTCCCTTCCCCTCTTAGGCTCCCTAGGGTGTGTCACTCCAAAGAGGCGCTCCTCCACTCCACAGAACCCTGGGTGGTGGGTGGATCTGTTGAAAGTGGCTCTGCGGGTGGAGCCGCTTCCCCTTGGCACTGCGTGGGCCACCACAGTCTATCAGATTGGTTTTAAATAGCCCTCTCCACTCAGGCACAGGATGGGAACCACCCAGCTGGTCTGGCAGTTGCTTGAGGGAGCCCCAGGCTCCAGCCTTCCTTCCTGAAGGTCCAGGTGCTACTAAGTCTAGGTCCTAGGGACTGCTCAGCCCCTGAAGGGAATGCTGAGACAGGGGACCCAAGCTGGTTCCCACACACATGGCCCTGGCCCACATGAGAGGGAGGCGCCACATTGGAGGTACACTGCCAGGGCCTCCTTCCAGCTTCTTTGCTGCCTTTGGCTCCTCACCTCCTGGAGAGGTAGGACACGTGGTTACATCTGTATGAGCCATAGGCAGGTGATGGGCAACTCTGAGAACCTGGGGACCTTCCAGACTAGGCTAGGCCTCACCCCAAGGCTGATCCACACCATCTTTCAGAACAAGGTAAAGTTCATCAAGCAGACAACCACCATCCTGCAGCAGCGCTACGAAGGGGACATCCCTGCTTCAGTGGCGGAGCTGGTAGCCTTGCCAGGTGTTGGGCCCAAGATGGCACACTTGGCCATGGCTGTGGCCTGGGGGACCGTATCAGGCATAGGTGAGTAGTTTGTGCCACAAGGAGGGAGAAGTCAACTCTGGGCTTGCTTGCTTCTGTTAGGGTTCCCCAAGCACTTTTGTGACTCAAGCCAGAGTATCAGAAGGGTATTCTCAGTGTTGAGCAGGCTGGCACTGTTGGTCCCTCCTGCTTGCTGATCTCTGGGAGGGACCTTGCAGCCAGGTGACCTCCACATGCTGCAGAGTCATGAGGAGTGCTTCACCTGTGGGTAGGAAGCTAACAGGTGCGGACTGTGACAGCCCTGTGGAGCCTGACCCAGGCCTTTTGGGTTTGAGTTTGTTGGTTGTTGTTGTTGTTGTTGTTTTTGGGGGGGGGAACGCCAAATTATTTGTTTGTTGTTTGTTTTTTGGTTTTGAGACAAGGTTTCTCTGTGTAGCCCTAGCTGTCCTGGAACTCACTTTGTAGATCAGGCTGGTCTCAAAGTCACAGAGGGCCACCTGCCTCTGCCTCCCGAGGGCTAGTATCAGAGGTGTGCACCTAAGCTTCTTAAGTACTGGGATTAGTCATGCTCCCCTGTGCCTAACTCCAGGAAGTCCTTCTGAGGTCATGTTTCAGTTTAGGGCTTTTGGTGAGTTAGCCAGACCAAGAGGTAGAAGTGTGTCCCAGGCAGAAAGAATAGAAGCGGTAAAGCTGAGTAACAAAGCAGGAAGCTCTAGAATGGGTGGAACAAATTAAGGAAGGCAGAGGCTGAGGTGGCGGTGGAGAAGGAGGGTGGTCTTGTGGGATTGGGGAAGGAGGGTGATTTCTGGAATCCTTTCTCTGGGTATCATCTTTTAGCATTTGAAGCACCACTGTAATAGCTAGGTTGAGGACCTATTTCCTGGGCAAGGATGAGATTTAGCCCTGACCTCTCTTTGGGCCCCCAAACGCTGGCTTCTGAGTGTGCCTGGTGGAGGGGTTCCTTTAGAGATCTGTAAGCTGGTAACACCGTTGCACTGACCAACAGTGGTTAGAGGGCAGCGAGGGGCCCAGGGCTTTGACTGGGAGCTGGTAACCACCTGTTGAGACTGGAGGAGAGCAAGCCTTGGCAGAGCCTGGCCAGGTAGGAAGTGGGTGAGGCCTCCCCAGCTCAGTCTCCACTCCTTAGCTCCCAAAGCCGCCAGCAGCCTCTTAGTTGACACTTGAGCTTATCTAGACACTGTCCTCAGCTGCCTGTGTCCCGAGAGAAGGGAGTGCCGTGGTTGGCAAGCTCCATGGGGGAAGGGCCCCCACAGGGACACAGGTGTCCAGTGCTTCCAGTGGACGGGACAATGTCTCAACACCACCCGCTTCTCTGTGTAGGCCTGCCTACCTGCGGTGAGACCCGGGGCTGCCTGCTGGGAAAAAAAGGTCCTCTCAACTGAAAAGCTGGGACTAAGGAGTCCTGACCCTTGCAGCTGGGTGACCTTAGGGCACACACTTGGTCTCTCTGAACTTGAGTTCACAGCCAGTGAAGTAATTGCTCTCCTTAACAGCACAGATGCATAGGAAGCCTGTCTGCCCAGCACAGGAGGCTCCTACATGTGGCCCTGGCTAAGGCTGCCATGATGTGACCCCTCAGCCTGAACTCCCAGTCTTTTCCCAGGCAATTAGTGAGTCAAGAGGCTGGCATGGGGACTAGCTAGCTGTTTGCAAACCTTGGGAAAGGCAAGGCAGACACTGCAGTTGACCAGGTGGCTTGGCAGGAGGCCCCAGTGAAGGTAGGAGGTTGAATCCTTGCAATGGCAGCTAATGGGAACAGGAATTGAAACCCAGGTGGAGCACAGCTGTAGCCAGACTGACCCTGTTATCCACTCTATTCCCAAAAGCTGGAGTAGCGGATGCCAGCCAGCTCTGCAACAGTGACCTCAGGCTAGCCCACTGGGCCAAGCTGCTGCCACCCAGCCCAGTGCTCACAGCCAGTGGATGAGCTGAGAGGGGCCTTAGGACCCAGGTGGACAGGGCAGAGGAAGCAGAGCATCAACCCCCTCCCTCCCCCCATCCAGGCCTCATTCTTGGGAAGGCTGCAGACCAAGACACAAACACCAAACACTTTGGGGTTTGTTTTGTTTGTTTTTCCCAGGATAGAGAGTTGAATTTTTCTTTCTTTTTTTTTTTTTTTTTAAGACATAGGCCAAGCTAGCCTTGAACTCAGAGCAATCTTACATCAACCTTTCAAGTGCTGGAGTTATAGATAGGAATCATCACACTTGCCTCACACTTTGATTGCTTTGTCTTTTGAGGCAGGTTTTTTTCTGTATAGCCCTGGTTGTCCTGGAACAGGCTGGCTTCAGGCTCAGAGAGCCACCTGCAAGCCTTTAATGCCAGCACTCAGGAGGCATTTGAGGCAAGCCAGGTCTACATAGTGAAGTCTAGGATAATCAGGGCCGTGAAAAAAGACCCTATCTCAAACAAATAAACAATCAAGCAAACAAACCAAATAGGCTGCCTGCACCCCAGATTGAGGGCTCAGCCACGCAGATGATGTACCTTCTCTCAGGCTCCATGGTTCCCATCTTGTTTAGAAGCCCAGGTGGGAAAGATCTTGGGCTGTCTCCTAGCCACACTTGCTTGGAACTGGGGATAAGGATAGGGACACAGTACGGCTGGCAGAGTGCCCTAGTTGACCCTGCCCTGTCTCCAAGCAGCAGTGGACACTCATGTGCACAGAATAGCCAACAGACTGAGATGGACCAAGAAGGTGACCAAGTCCCCAGAGGAGACACGCACAGCCTTGGAGGAGTGGCTGCCCAGGTACAGAGTGGCTGGGTGAGCCTGGGGGAGAGACCCGCCCTGCTCTCTTACACATTGACTTACCCCTTACCCTCACAGGGCGCTGTGGAGTGAAATCAATGGGCTGCTGGTAGGCTTCGGCCAACAAACCTGTCTCCCTGTCCATCCTCGCTGCCAGACCTGCCTCAACCAGGCCCTGTGCCCTGCTGCCCAGGACTTCTAAGGGTCATAGGGCTTCCTCTGGCCAGTGTCTCTTAAGTGCCTTTATGGGGAGGGGTAGTAAGATTTGGGGGTTGTTTGCAGGGTGTATAATAAAGCTGGGGATTTATTCACAATTGACTTCTAGCCCAGTTGGTTTAAGATCAGGTCGAGAAGCGTATATGTGAATGCAGCACTGCATACGCAGGTCAGGGGCAAGGTTGCCTGGGAGACTGTGTGGGGACACAGTGTATCCTGGGAAGGGAGGGAGGGAGAGATGGGAGGGGAGCATAAACCCAGGAGAGGAAACAGAGCCAGCTGCAGCCAGCTGCTGGGAAGCCCGTGGGGGAAGTATCCCTGTGAACTCTCACACTCTGTCCTGCAGTCCCAGCACTTCTCTGGGACCTCTGGCTTCTGAACTTGTGCTCAGTCTGTGCCAGGAACCCACCCTCATGTTAGCAGAGGAACTCTGGAGATCCAGGCTCTGGACTGCTGGACACAAGGCTTCACAGGACAGGTCTTGGAGAAGTAGGAGTAGGAGAGGGATGGCGTCGTTCCTCACCCAAGGGTCTTCTGGAATGGGCTTTATTCCTCACCCTTACCCCTCAAACTGAAGACTCAGAGAACACACAGGCGCCAGAGTTCAAGGCAAGGCCTGTTTAATTTGAGGGCGCGCGCTCGTGCGCTATGGCTTGTGAGGCAGACTGCAGTGCCAATAAGTGAGTTCAGGGAGTTGAGAACACTGAGGAAAGGGCAGAGGGCAAATGCCAGGTAGGCATAAGGCAGGGGCCAGGCCCAGGATGAGACCTGGAATGGCTCACACAGACCCACCATCTCCAGGTCCTAGAGCTGCAGAACAGGGTAAGGGGCTTGTCAGGAGGCTGCCCTCTTCGAGTCATGGAACACCTATCCTCAGGGCCCCTCAGAGCCGAGGCTCTGCATTCCAGAACCCAGCATGTGGGAGGCAGCACAGGACTAGCTAGGCAGAGAGGCCTGGCCGAGGGACCATCCCACATGAGGGATGGGACAGAGGGATAGCTCCTACAGGCACAGCTGGCCCTGAGGGCCCCTGGCTGTCTTGTCCCTGGAGTCCCTGGTCTCTGCTCGGGATGGCGCTGCTGACAGGGTGGGTAAGAAAGGGTTTGCAGAGAAAGGTTTGTTTTATTGCAATTATTTAGAGTGAGCCCCAGGGGGTTGGGGGAGGGGCTCCACTATTAACCAGAAACATATGTGGAGCTGGAGACCTTTTAGGAAAAAAAGCGAAAACATGAATTCCTTTCAGTCAGCAGGCCCGAAGCAGAACAGCAAAAGGCCCTTGGCAGACCACCATGCATAGCTCCTCCCTCTCTTGCTGTTTCTCTGTCTGTCTTGGCTAGCTGGCTCTCTCTCTCTCTCTCCCTCTCTCTCTTTCCCTCTTTCCTCTGGGTTTCTCTCTTCTCTCATCTTGCTATGACAGCTGCAGCACCCAAAGGACAAGACAAGGGGTCATGGGGGTCATGGGTTGTTTTCTGGGTGGTGTGACACCACCCTCCAGTCTTGCTCAGGCTTGGGGAGCTCTGCAAAGGCCCAAGGTCCGTGCGGGAAGAGACCACAGGGCCCCTGGACAGGCAGAGAGGGGCTCAGAAATTGCTGAAGATCTCTCGCTTCCGGTTCCAGTCCATCTGGGGTGCCCGCTTGTTCACCCGAGTAGCTCGAGCCTTCTCCTTGGCTTCAGCTGCTGTGGGACTCAGGTGGAGGCCACTCTCCTGGAAGGGGTCTCGCTTCCAGGCACTGCCATCCTGGGGACAGGTAAGGTGCAAACAGTGAGCCATACCCCTGGCAGCTGCCTTTCCAAGGAACTTGCACACCAGAGGCCACCCCAGGGCCTAGGGCAACTAGCCCAAGAGGCTTCTTGGAAGTGGTAGCCCCACTGTCCTGGTAGGAATCTCCACAGAGAGCCCCACCTAAGGCCTCTGAAGCCCCAGATATGAGCAGCGTTACCTCATTGTCCTTGTCTGAGCCTGGTAGGTCACTTCGGGATGAGCACACGGAGCCGCCATTGAGCTAGGAAACCAAGGGAAAGTTGTGGTTTCAGCATGGCCATCCTGGTGCGCCCAGATCACACACACACACACACACACACACACGCACAGGATCACTTTTGAGCCCACACACAGCACAGCTGCATCTGCTCCTTTTCAGCAGTAAGCATTCAAACATCTGTCACTGCCAGGGCACAGCTGGCACCTCGAAGCACACGGGAAAGTCCAACCTGGCCAGTTACGGTAGAGGAGAACAGCTGTGGCAATGGGTACCAGCTGTGCGAATGTCACTTGTCGGTCAAGCCAGGGATAGTGTCCAGGAAGGTGAGGGCCGAAGACTACGCAGTAGTCGTGTAGGAACGAGGCATGGGAAGGTGGCCAGGACCCCAGGTCTCCACCCACACTATGTGTGTGAGCCCCTGCTAACCCCATACAAGATCCACGGTGGGTATTCATTTGTTTTGAGACAGGGTTTCTCTGTGTAGCTCTGGCTGTCTAGGACCTCACGCTCAGAGATCTGCCTGCTTTTGCCGACCAAGCGCTGGGATAGGTGGTGAAGGCCATCATGCCTGGCTAGCACAGAGGCGATTTTTAAGAGGACCAGGCCAGATAGGTCTCACAACTGTACATCCTCACGGAGGATGCAGCCATTATCATGTCTGGGGACCCAAGGGTAGCGGTACACCTATGGTCGCTGGGGCCCTCCCTCTCACCTGGGCATGGCTGGTCCCGTTCGTGACTGGTGATGGCAGCGGACCTATGGGGACAGCGTGTTAGTGGCTGCACTGACCCTACCCTGTGCCCCTAAGGTAATCGCCTACCTTCTACATGCTCCTCCGTGGGGATGACCCGCAGCCGCTTGAAGTGCTCATCAGTCTCAGGATCTACCACCAGCAACCGGGCCTCATCGTCCCGTGCCTTGATTCTGGCAACAACTTCAGCATGACGAAGCCCCTCCACGTTCTGCCCATTCACCTGCCACCACCCACATAGGGTCAGAAAGGCCTGAGGGGCCCAGTCGGCCCAGTGCCACCCAGCCAGGTGTGCCATCAAATATTCATTGAAGCCACCACCAGCCGAGGCAGCAGGAAGAGTGCCAGCTCAAGTTCCCTCTGTCTCCCCTTCTCCTGCAGGGACCCAGGGCCCAGACATGGACACTCAGGGACATGCAGATACAAACACAGGGACCCAGGATACCTCAATGAGCCGGTCCTGGGCACGGAGGCCAGAGTGGGAAGCAGGGGAGCCCGGGTCCACAGAGCGGATGTACTGGCCAGGCCGGGACTTGTCACTATGCAGGTTGAATCCATATCCCTGGGGTCCCTTTCTCAAGTGGCAGAGCCGGGGACGAAGCTCTCTTGGGGGCCCATTGAGATCCTGTAGACACATAGGAGGTGATATCAGGCTCTACCCCCAGCCTCCCAGCGCTATGCTGTCAGAGAACAATGCCAGGTGAAGTTGCCTGTAACACAACTTTAGTTGTGGGCTTAGGGACAAAGCCTGTGCCCAAACATGTAAGCATCTAATGAGATAGCTGCCGGCAGGAGCAGTGAGAGAATTCACAGGGGCACTGTGCACAGCTTGGGGATATAGAAGGAACCGGATGGGAGAACTGCCCCATCACAGACCTGGCAAGACTGTACCTTTAGGTTTTGCCTCTCCCTCCATCCTTGCCTCCCCTCTGTAGGGCCGGTACCCTGGAGGCCTGAACTGTTTTTGTTTTCTCTTCAAAGCCTCCAAGAGGCTCCCTGGGCTATTGTGGCAGCTGTTTACTTTAGAATTCCAATACTAACCGGAGCCTCTGCCCCCACCTGATGGCCCAGAAGGGGCCGGTGATGGCCACTCCCAGCCTATGATGCTTCCTGGCCCACAACATGGAAGGGCTCACAGTACCCACAAGGAACCCCCACCACTGCCCCAGGCTGCCTTGATTTACCTCTGGCATGCTGCAGTAGGTCTCTGGGCCAGGAGGCTATGCAGGCCGGAACAGCCCGCTGACCCCCACCCCAGCCAGGGGCCAAGCCAGAGGCTATGCTGCTGAATGGCCAGCAGCTGGTGGTGCCCAGTTACACAGGGCTGGTGGCTGGGGTGGGCAGGCAGGTGGCAGCTCAGGTTTCTGAGTGTGAGCGTAGGTGACAACGTACTGGCTGGGGGCATTTCCCTCACCCTCCCCTACCACCCCTACCCCTTCACGCCTGATGGCTCAGGGACTCTAGAGCAGGGAGGATCGTTCGGGTCTCGGGCAGATATCTTAAGTCGCAGGCAGAGTCTTCCCCCAACCCAGAACATCTCTGAACACTCCAGCTGTCCAAACCCCCTTTGGTGTTTTGGAGAGAAGGTCCCACATTTTAACCCAGGCTAGCCTCAACTACACAACACAGAGTTATCTTTTTGTTTTACCTTCTGAGTGTGGGAATTATCCGTATAAACCACCATGCTAGCTCCAAACCCTAAATGTGGTATTTGCCCATGCCCATAGGTGACAGCCAGCTGCAGGAATAAGTACAGTGTTCCATGCAGGGCTACTCCTAGCTTCCGGATTGTGGGATGGCCCTTCAAAAAAGAGGATGTCCTCTTTTTTTCTAGCCTATACTCAGGACCCCTTCCTTGATCCCAAAACCCAGCTAGATATTCATCTGGATTCTCCTGCTGGCCCTTGGTGCCCAGCCACCATCTGCCCCATTACACCAAGAATTATAGAGGTAAAACTGGTCCTCAGCCCCTGGGGGCTCAGCTAGGCAATGTTGGCCGAATTCAGGGTTGTAAGGCCTCAAAGATCTTCAGAACCCCACTGCACAGATTTATTAAATCTCAGAGACATAGCTGAAGGCACAGGTATAGGGCTTTGGGGCAAGGCCCTGAGAGACCCTAACTATCAGCTTGAGATAGCCAGAGGCTAGTTCATAGGAGAGAGACTGGAGAAGTAGAGATAGAAGCCAGTGCCAAAACAGTACAAGGAAATATGTGGCCACTCCTGGCACAAAGTCATGTCCTAGGCGGCAGGACCGCATCCTGTGGCCACAGAGACAAGACAGCCATGCTTACACTCATAAACAACGTAGACACAGCCACCCACACATGCAAACTTATGTCCACGGCACTGGCCCTGTGGCCTTTTCCCACGGCCTCTGTGGTAGCCTACAGGGCAGGGTTTCTTGGGGCTCCCAGACAGGAAGCAGGACTTGGCAAGCTATTGTAGTCATGAAACTAGGTGCCATTCCTGAGGGGCTGTTCTGGCTACCCCCCAGCCTCAATCCAGAACAGCCACCTCAGCAGAGGTTAAAAGATTCCTCTTACCAAATAGCCTAAACCGTCTCTAGCCACAAGCAGAGCCCAAGTGGTGCCGGGCCTGGCATAAAACCCTCAAGTACAAGGACTGCAAGGCACCCCCAAGCCTGTGGGATAGCGGGGGGACAGCTAGAGCAAGTAAGTGGGGGTAGGGTGGCCCAGCGAGCAGCGGGAAGGGTGCATTGCTGGAATTCTTTCTCCCAGCCCTAGCACTGAGTACACTTCCTGCCTTCTTCAGACAGGCCCTCTGGCTCCCACGGGCTCTGAGACACACAGCCATAGAGCTGGGCAAGTCTCAGTACCCCCGCTGAGCCTATAACCAGACAAAGGCTGATATAGGGGTGCCCTGGGAGCCAGGCTCTGCCCCCCCCACCAGATAATGACTCACCAGCCCCAGCAGAGAAAGGCCCCCATTGTTTCTTGGGGTCCATCTTGCATGCACAAACATCCCCCAAGTTCCCTGTCCCTTACCCAGAGATTGAGCTAAAGCTGGGGTCCTGACATCCCAGCTCTGCCCCATCCCCACCTAACCTGAACAAGCCCCTGTTGAGAGTTCAGTGGAGGGGCGCCTGGGGCAGAGGCAGGCAGCATGGTACTCCTGGAGCGAGCCATGAGAGGTGGCTAGGAAAGGCAGGCAGCAGGTGGCCAGCCTGGAGCAGCCTGAGCTCTTGGGCCAGCTGAGACTGCCACCCCACTTATCTACCTCCCACTGTGGCCCAGGTTCCCTGGGGATGGGTGGGGACATAGGGACTGACTCACTTCGGGTAGCAGGGTAGTTACTAAGCCCCCTCCCCTGTCTGGCATCCCCCCCACCCAGCTAAGTTTCCGTCCCAAGAAAGGAAGGAAGGAAGCTGCCGGAGGCCCTGCCCTGCTCCAGGACCCAGGGCAGTGGAGACAGGGAGTCAAGGGAGGGGACCTTGGCTGGAGAACAGAAGACAGCGTGTGTGTGAGGGGAACAGCAGGAACCAGGGGAGTCCCCAAAAGCTTTCCTGCTGTCACTTTGTTCTAACCATCCTCTGCCCTGAACCCACCACCTGCAAAGCTCGATCAGCCCTAACTCAGTCCTCCAAGTCCTCCAGGAAGTACAGACATGACAGGAGCAAAGGGGTGGGAAGGCAAGGTCTATCACTGCCTCCCTCTCCCTGGCGCTGCTAGCTGCTGGGTCTCTGTTTGGGGGCTGTTCCTGTCATCACTGCTAGAAGCAGCTCACTGCAGCTGCAGCCACCCCCAGCCCTGAATGGCCCAGGACTGAGTCACCAGTCCTTCCCGCCCCCAAAGGGAGGGACAGACCACATCAGTGATCTCCCTAGTCCCACCTCCCCTCTCCTGCAGGCTGGGACAGAGAACCCAGGTTCAGGGAGGATGAGAAGACCCTAAACCTCCTCTGGGGGCACCTAGTGGACACCCTCACCCTGCAGAAGAGTAGAGGCATGCATGCCTTACCAGTCTGTCCAGCCACCAATACCTCCATCAAAACATAACTCTCTAAGGCTCCCACACTCAGCCTGAGGTATGGCATCTCTCTAAACCTGGTCTGTAGAGGTTATATGAGGCTCCCCTTGCTCTTCCAGGGTAAGACCTTCTCTTGAGCCCCTCTGCCTCCTAGAGTCCTTGTCCCTAGACTTGGCCCATCTACAATGGTACAGGCCCATTGCACCCCCTTTTGTTTCTCTAAAATACGCCCAGAGGAAGCCCCCTCCTAGGGCTTCCTGCAGCCCCTCCAAGCCTGAAATAGCTGTGACGGGGAAGGACCCACCCATAGCCAAGGGGCCTGAGCCACCCCATCTCCAGATAAGGCCCCAGGGCGGATTTTTCCACAGGAAGGTGAACTGGGCTGTTTGCTTCTAAATGAATGGATACACGCCTGGGGGTTGGGGGGGGCTTCTTCCTAAGGAGGAGAAAGGGGTACTTGGGGAAAAGGGAGGCTCCTAGTCCCCAGCCAGAGGAAGGTGGGCCTGGCACCATCTTCTTCCCAAAAGATTCCTTCTAAAGACTCCTGATCTTAAACAGCCAGAGGGCAGAATCTAGATTCTAAGGCTTGGCACCTGCCCTCAGGTCTCTAAGGAAAAGAATCCAACAGATTCAGAGCACAGACCTTTCCCCAGGTTGGCCTTACCACTGGAAATGTCATCTCCCAACCTCCAGACAGGTCCTACAGGGATCAGCACAGGCCTAACCAGATCAAGTAGGAGACATTTGGGTAAGGTCAAAGGTAAATATTAAGGTCTGAAACACATCCAGAAACTTCAGACCTGCCACACCACCAACCCTAAGCCAATGGTTCTCAAAGTTGGATGTGGGGAACCCCTTGGCTCAAACAATAATTAGAAGACACGGAGACAATAAGACCCAGGCCTCCTCCAAGAAGCAGAACAAATAGCCTCAGGCCCTTCCTCCTTGCCCCAAGTTCTGTCTAGGTAGCTACCTAGAAGGTAGAACAGACCTTCCCTTGTTTCTTCTAGGTCTCCTATCCTGGAAGGAGAGAAACAAGGGGAGGTGGTACCCAGCAGGAGCCATGGGACAACAGCACACAGGGGCTCCCTAGGGGAGGGGAGTGGGCAGAGGCTTCTTAGGAGGGTCCACATACAGCTCCGAGGGGTCCCTATCCTTCTTCCCATTTCCCACCTGTGCTGGGACCCCTCCCCCACCCATCCCACCCCACTACAGCACTGATTCCTGCAGCAGGCTGTAATCCACCCAAGGCCTCAGAGCACACAGTCGGCCAAGACATGGATGCTCCAGACAGAAACATGGACAAAAACAAGGACAAGCGATATCTAATACAGACACTCAGTCCTTTAGGGTTCCAGCAGCCCCCCCCCCCCCAGAGCTGGAACCTCAAGCAGAGAGAACAAAGGCAGAAAGAGTAGCCACAGGTGGTCACCAACAGCACAGAGAGTAGGGACTGCATAGGAACAGAGCCCTAAGAAGAAATGGACGGAGGCTTAAAGAAGTGACCAAAGCGAAAGCTATCATCAAGAGCCAGTGATGGCAGTTCTGGAAAAGGCTCATTGTCCCACAGGCATAGCCCACCATACCTTCTGGCCGGTGTCAGAGCCAAGGCTGCCCGAGCAGGCCCAGTCAGGCTTTGGCTCCCAGGGACTGTGGGCTGGGGGAAGCCCTCGATGGGCCATCTCTTCAGTGCAGATCAGTTGCCTCCGGCAGAGCTCCTCATCCGTCTCCTTGTCCACCACAAGCAGCTGAGTCTGCCCCTCCACAGCCTTGATCCTCTGTACCACCTGGAATGGGTGGGTAGCAGGACCCGGTCAGCAGCCAGCACCCTGGGCAGCACATGGATAGGGCACCACTTTGGTAGGGCACCACTCCTGGCTAGGCCCAGGCTCACGGACAGCGGGGCAGGGGTTGGCCTGCCGGGGGTGGGCAGCTGGACTGAGAAGCCTTCTTCGGGCTCCACCCCCCACCCCCAGTTTCCAGTAGCTCCCTCCCTCTTCTCCCTGGAGCTAAATCCCAGGCTGCAAGTACTTTGGGATCCTCTTGTGGCCTTGTACTCAGCTAAGGTAAGGACAAGAAGAAGCTGCCAGGAGCAGCCAGGTGGGAGTCAGAAACCGTTCAGCTGAGGATTTCTGTCTAGTCTGCATATGTGTTTACACACTTATCTGCATATGTATGCATATGTGTGTGCTTTTGTGAGTATGTCTATTTTAAAATCTGGTTTTTGGTCTAGGTGTAGGAGAGAGCACTGGCTCCAATGTGAGTATTTGGGCCTCTTTCTTTCTCAGAGATGCAGTGTGAATCTAAAACACCTGGAAAGCTCTAGAATTCTAATTTGCCTCCATACCTGTATCGAAAAACCATTCTGCTAGACCTGCAAAGAGGTGAGGACCTAGGAATTCTAACTAGGATGTTCCTATCTATCAAGTAAGCAGGGTTCAGCTCCAGCAGGTACAGCAGTGGAACAGGTGTGGCAGGGGCCTCTGTGTGCCTGGATGGGTACCTGTGAAGGGTGGAGAGCAGGTGGGCCACCATGGCTCATTCAGGCTGTTAGTGTGAGTTCAAAGGGAGAGCCCACTGGACATCTGAAGGGCAGGAAGTATTAACAACTCGCCCCCCCACCAGGATCTCCATCGTTACCCCACTTAGCACGTGATACCATTACCAACAAGAAGGTCCTACCCAGGCCCATCTTCACCTGGCCCCTTTGTGTCATCCTTTCTCCCCATGACCAACAGAACAGAAGGATCCCGGCACCCTGATGCTCTCTGGCATAGGAACCAAGCCAGTTACTAACAATATCTACATACCAGTAGAACGAGAGTCATGGCTTTGCCCCTATCTTTCTGAACAGTGGAAGGGTCTAATGTGGCTCTATGCAAATTAGAGATTAGCCCCCCAGAAATCTGGGATAGACAAGCAGATTCCAGTGACTGCTAGGGGCAGATGACACCGACTCTGCCTGTCTAACCCTTGCTTTTTAGGCCAACCTCTGGGCTCCACTCCCAAACTCTCCAACACACAAACAAATCCAACGGTCACTGTAGGGAGAGAGCAGGCCCCTGGGGGAGACAGGAGTTCAGCTCTTAGCCCAGACAAGAACCACTCTGCTTTCTCCAGGCTGGTACTATGGATCCAGAACAGAAACGGTGGAGGGAGGCTGGACCCTAGCCAGGACCTTAGGTGTGTCTACCCCTCACTAGGATACAGACACCCCAGAAGTGGAACCTGCAGGAGCAACAGCCCTAACATCTCTCCTTCCTCCTGCTGCAGCGGGCAAGAGCTGGACAGTGACCTCTACAGGGCCAGGCAGACTTTCAGGGGTTAGCCCTTTCTGAGACCAAGGAATATGCTGCCGCTAGAGCTGACTCCACCAGACCCAAACACACCGGGCCATCAAAAGTGCAATAGTATAACTGGGCAGGTAAGCAGTCAGGCAGGCACAAGTGCGAGCAGGCGCGACACACACACACACACACACACACACACACACACACACACACACACCCTAGACACACATTCCAGCACTGACACAAGTGTGCTTTCATCCACTCCGGGAACACTTGAGTAGTGCGTTCATACGGATAACCCCAGACAGACATGCAAGCACAAACACATACTCACACACTGACAGAAAAGCATCTATATACCACAAGGACACAAGGTGCCTTAGCCACCTCCTCCCCCTCCATGGCACACGGAGGCCAAAACTAGCAGAAGCAGCCAGGGCCCTGGCCAGAGCAGCCGCAGTGCGGGGCCCCTCCCTACCAGGATGTCCTCCCTCCCCCCGCTTGTGCAGGACTGTGCTTCCTCACCAGGAGGCCAACTGGCCAGCCACGTCCCACACCTCGACACCCAAACAGCAGACCCCTGTGGGACCCTTCCCGGGTCCCACCATGGGGCACACAGAAGGGTGGTCGTTGGCATCTTGGCCAGCGCTGTGGGGACGCGCCCCCAAGGAGGGAACGGGGGCGGGGCGCAGCGCAGGGACCCACCTGGTGATGCGTCTCGCCTTCTACGTTGACGCCGTTGACCTCAACCAGGCGGTCCCCGGCACGCAGCGCGGCCGCCTCGGCTGGGGAGCCTGGCTCCACGCGCCGGATGAACTGGCCACGGCGGCCCTTCTCGCCATGCAGGTGGAAGCCGTAGCCCTGCTCGCCCCGCACCAGGCGACACAGGCGGGGCCGCAGCGACTCCGGCGCGGCCATAGCACCCGCTGCCCCCTGGCTGGCCGCGACTGGCCACGGCTCACACCACCCGCAGGCTGGAGCGCGGAGGCGGCGGAGGCGCGGGCGGGAGAGCAGGCAGCAGCCTCCGCGGCTCCCCGCTCGGCTCGCGTCGCCTCGGGCTCCGGCTTCGGCTCTGGCCCTGGCCCTTGCTCCCGCGGCAGCACCGCCCCCGCGCCCGCCCCTTCCCCGCCCTCTTGGCTGCCCCCGCCCTAGCCCAAGCCCCGCTAGCTAGGCCCCTGCCTGGGCGCCCAGAAACCCTGGAGGACCATCGAGTGAGGATTGCACCGTCAGACAACCCTCAGAGTCCCGGGACTCCTATCTTATTCTATTTTGGACACCCTCCGTAGCTCCAGCACCTTTGGCGTCTGTTCCAGGAACCACTTTTTTAGACACCTGCATAAGCTACGCTGAGAGAGGTTCCTGAAATGGGGAGCCTCTTAGAGAAAGGGTCCAGCCAGAGACATCAGCGGGGAAGTGCAGAGCCCGCTGTGCCCTTCCTCGGGATGCACCCCGCCCTCTACCCACCGGGACTGCTCTGCCTGCTCCCCCTTTCTTTGCTCTCTGAATTTAGATCCCTGAAGTTGTCATGCCCCAACCCGAAGTGCAACAGGCAAAAATAAGAACTGAAAGAGACGCAACAGGAACCTAGGCCTTGGGGACCAGTGAGTAGATGACCCCCTGCCCCTCCCAGGAGTGTTTATTCATTAAACATCCTATCCCCACATTCCCTGCTTTTCAGGAACAAGAGTTTATCTGGCACAGATGGGAGGGTGTTTGCTGCCTTCCTTTTGACCTGGTGTGAACTGTGCTGATGACTTTGGCCCCTGAGCTCCAGGTGATGGTCAGCTGTCCCATATTAAGCCCCTGTAGGCCCATCCCTTGTCCCCAGGTCTCTAGTCTCACACACACTCTTACTTTTACAATTGTACACGTCTTCATCTACCCCTACAGGACAACAGTCCCACGGAGAATTACTTATGCATTCCTATACGGTGTTCCCAGAACAAGCCTAGAGGAAACAGGCCATTTTAAAAGACCAGAAAACTGAGGCCTAGAGAAGGCCCTCTGCTGGGGCCCAGCACTGTGAGAGTGCACTTTCACTTGAAGCATCTTTCCAGGCACATAAGACAGCTGAGATTCAGGCTCACCCACAGGCTGCTTCTCCCTAGCTAGCCCACAGCTCCTCACTTACCTGGTCCCCCTGAGCGAGGCATAGCCAGCGCAGACAGTTTCCCATGTGGAGAGGAGATGCAGCCCTAGCTCAGTGTTCTTCTGGGCCTCTCCTCCCTCCAGAGCCCTTAGCTGTGGTTCTCCACCCCCACCCAAGCACCAGGACCTGCCTCCCAGCAGCATCCTAGGCAGCAGCCCCTTGGGTACCCACACCCTAGTGGCTGCCCCTAAAAAGCACTTAGGCTGAAGATGCATTGTTGCTCCCTGCCCCCAGCCCTCACTCAGATTCTAGATGATGCTGCCACAGGCTCTGCCTGGCTGGCCTCTTCCATCTATCTTCCTGCCTATCCAGTGTTTGCTTCTCTGTCTGAGGATTGGTTTCTCTGGGCCTAGACTAATGCTGTTGCCCAAGGAGACTGTTAAATAATGTGTATGAACAGTGGGGTCACTGTATATCCTACCTGTGTGGAGTTTAGAAGTTATTCCATAACAACCAGGGACATCCCAGACCTGCTAACATCAGCTTTGTGGTCACAGTAAAGAGTTGGCAAGATGGGAGATCTTCAGGCCAGGAGTTGAGGAAAGTGAGGGGCCATTCCCACCTCAACCTCGGGCCCTCACTGGCTTTCTGCCACCAAGGACTCAGCCCATGAATGAATATGGGAAAAGAACAAAACAAGACCAGAAAACAATGATCACAGAGGGGCCAGGAACCAAGGATGACAGGACACAGCAGTTACATAGTAAGTAGCAAAGGAGTTTTCAAAGCAAAAGAGCTAGAAAGTGCCAAGGCAGGTGACAGAAACAAAGTGGCATCTTAGATAATCAGTGGGCCTGAGCCACAATGAAGCGTGGACCAGCAGTGTGAAAGAGCAAGGAGGAAAGAAAGACAGCCAGAAGCCAGCACTTCTGTGTCTCCAGTACTCTAGAGGCTGAGGCGGGATGCTCCTGAGTTTGTGGCCAGCCTGGATAGCATGTGTCAAAAACAAGAAGAAACAATGGAGCTGGAGAGATGGCTCAGCCATGACAAGGACCAGGGTTTGATTCCCAGCGCCCATATGGCAACTTCCGACCATCTATAATGGGATCCAACGCCTTCCTCTGGTGTGCATATGTACATGCAGACAAAGCACCCATATTAATAAAATACAAAAATAACCCCCCTCCTGAAAGACAAAGTTTCTTTGTGTAGCCCTGGCTGTCCTGGAAGTCAATGTGTAGACCAGGCTGGCCTGAAACTTAGAGATCCACCTGCCTCTCCCTCCTGAGTGCTGGGATTAAAGGCGTGTACCACCACTGCCTAGCAACAAATAAATATCTTTTTTAAAAAAAAAATGAAGAAAAAAATGTTTTGAATGCCATTATTTAATAAAAAGGGGACTTTAGGGCTGGAGAAATGCCTCAGCAGTTAAGAGTCTTTGGAGCATTTATTGTTCTTGCAAAGGACCCAGGTTTGACTCCCACTCCCAGCACCCACATGGAAGCTCAGAACCATTCAGGATTCCAGCTCCAGGGAGTCCAGCCTAAGCTACAGGAAGATTCTGTCTCAAAAAAACAAACACAGGATGAGAATGTAGCTCAGCTGAAGGGTGCTTGCTCAGCATGCAGGAAGACCTAAACTGGATCTCTAGCACTCCATAGACCTGGTGTGTATGCTTGTAATTTGGACACTTGGGAGGTAAAATTAGGAGGATGAGAAGTTTAAGATCATCTTCAGCTACATGGTGACTGACTCTGAGGCCAGCCTGAGCTTCATGAGAATCTGTCTTGCAGTGGCACACACCTTTAATCCCAGCACTTGGGGAAGCAGAGAGATCTTTGTAAATTGGAGGCCACCCTGGTCTACAAAAGTAAGTCCAGGAGAGCAAAGGCTACACAGAGAAGCCCTGTCTCAAGAGAGAGAGAGAGAGAGAGAGAGAGAGAGAATCTGTCTCAAGAGTGAAACAAAACAAAATGGGTTGGAGAGACGGCACAGTGGTTAAGAGTATTTACTGTTGTTGCAGAGAACCTGGGTTTGCTTCCCAGCACCTACATGGCAGCCAACAACTGTCTGTAACTCCAGCTTTAGGGAGGCTCAATGCCTTCTTCCGGCCTTTGCAGGCAACTTCACTCATGTAAACACATTCCCACACAGACATGAACACATATGCAGAATTAAAATACACATTGCGCACAGATCAAACTAAGCCTATTTAAACAATAGAAAGAACCAGGTACAGTGGCCAATGCCTCTAATCCCAACACTAGGGAAGCAGAGGCAATTGGATTTCTGTAAGATCCAGGCCAGTCAGGACTACATGGTAAGACCCTGTCTCAAAAAGAAAAGAACATGGCCGGGACAGACCGAGAGTGGCCATTTTTCAAGAGGAAACAGGAATTAGTGACATGAAGAGTGGAAGAGTAGAAAGTCTGGTGCACCGTGGGTGGGGGTGATACAAGTCTCTCAAAGACTACGACGCCTAGTCCGTCCCTTGTCCTCCCAGAGGCTTGAGGCAGACAGTGGCAAGAAACAGACCAACAGGGCTTAAGAGTGTACCCTCCCAAGAGGGTAGGACCTCAGAGAACGGGATATGAAGGTAAGTGGCCAGTGAGGGCTGAAGAGTCCAGGGGGCTTTGTTTTTCTAGTTATTTTTTCTTTGTTTGTTTCTTTTCTTTTCTTTTTTTTTATTTTTTATTTTTTGAGACAGGGCTTTGAGACAGCCTTGGCTGTCCTGGACTCACTTTGTAGTCCAGGCTGGCCTAGAACTCAGAGAGATCTTCCTACCTCTGCCTCCCAGAGTGCTGGGATACAGGCGTATCCCAGTGCTGGGGAGACCTGACGGTGAGGCCAGCGACATCCAAGAAGGTCAAGGCAGCATCAGAAGCTCCCTACCCTACAACTTACTATCTAAATGGGTCGCCTGTGTGACAGATAGCTGGTTTATCCGTTCTCTCAGTCCTCTCCAACTCTGATCATCTAAGGCAATCTGGGCTACCCGGCACCCCTGGTGGGACTGAGGGTTTTTCACTAAACATTGTAAAGTCTGGGTGTGGGCGGGGCCTGTGAATCCCTGTTTCAGGGGTGGAGCCAGTGTTCCGACGCCAGGTAAAGGTTGAATCTTTCTGGGAAAGGCTACTATCTTAATGGACAGTAATGGCTCTGCACTCATCCACTAGGTCTCGCTTAGGGCCTTCTCCCTCAGACGACATCACTCGCGCTTCTCTTTGGAGCCTCACGTTGGAGCAGGCGGGATCAGCGTAAAGAAAGGAAAAAGAAATCTAGAGAAAAGGAGACAGGGCAGGGAAAGAAAGGGTGGAAAGGAGGGACAGGAAACTGACCACCTCAAGAATTCTTGCTTCGAGAGACTCGCCCCGCCCCCCTTCCCCGTCTGGCTCTGCTCCCTTCCTTGGTGTGGACCGCCAACAGCAGCTACATAGCGCCACCTGGTGGAAATTAGTGTTATTGCACCATCGCGGGGAGGGACAGGGTTGGAGGGAGGGGGGACAAGCTTCAACAGGCAGATAGGTCCATCTCTGACCTCGCTGCCATAGTTTTAGACCAGTTCCAGTTCTGCGGGCTTATGATTTGGTTGAACCCCTGGAGCTGGTTACACACCCAAGTATAGGAATGTGAGCCTTGGGGAATAGACGGAGAAGGCCTCTAATAGACTCAGCCCTTCACCCTGGCCCTGGCCCCCTTCTCTAGAATGGGATAGCTCTAAGCATCTAAACTAAATGCCCCAGCCCTTGTGACCAAACATTTGCCAACTACTTGGCGTTTGGCACCAGCACTGGCTAGTGCTGGGTAAACATTGCTCATACTGCTCATACCCAAGGAGACAGAGGTTGTGTACCTTGGCCTGAGCAAGAGAGGCCCAGAGCTGGAGAAGCCCCAAAGGATCACTTAAAGAAGCTTGAAGCTCTGAGGAGTGTTGTACATCTGAGAGTGACAAGGTCAGGACACTGACCTTTTGAAGGTTAATCTAAGT